GGTGATGATGAATAAAACAAAAGTTTCTTTTCTAAGAATCTCAGTCTAGCAGACAGAGCACCACCATCATTATTGTCACTCATTATCATAATAATCAAATATTGAGGGCTTCCCTGGTGGCGCAGTGGTTGAGAGTCCACCTGCCGATGCAGGGGACACGGGTTCGTGCCCCGGTACGGGAGGATCCCACATGCTGCGGAGCGGCTGGGCCCGTGAGCCATGGCCGCTGAGCCTGCGCGTCCGGAGCCTGTGCTCTGCAACGGGAGAGGCCAAAACAGTGAGAGGCCCGCGTACCGAAAAAAAAAAAAAAAAAAAAAAGAATTAAAGGGCTTAAAATTATAGAACTGAAGCAACCAAAGAAACAAAAGGCACAAATATCCCAAACCTACCAGTTTCCCTACATCAGATGAGGCATAAGGAAACAAGCTCTTGAAAATTAGATTTTGAGCGATGTGCTAGTATAAGTATTTAGGGAAAAGGGGTTCACTTGAAAAATGAGCATATTCTATAAAGATGAAGAAATTGTATGATCCCAGAGCCTAGCTCCCTGGAGTTTATGTTTTCTGCACATGAACTCCACAGCATTAGCTGGGTTCCCAAGAGGTCCGGAGTTTTAACCTGTTGGGCACTTGCCATCATTGACCACATTATCATCTATCTATGCTTTGCACAGTGTTCAGGTAAAGTTCTAATATCTCAGATTATTAGGCAGTCTTTCCTGTGTTTTCTGCTGATAGCTTCTTAGAAATGCAAGCATTTATGGTCACTGGTCATGAACATTGAGTTCAGTCATTTGCATGTATATTTTGTGAGCCATTTTGTGAGCTCTGTTAAAACCAGGGCTTGCCTAACACTCTGTTCTGTCTCTTACAGCTAAATATGTAAATTTTCACAAATTGTTGTTACGATAGCTCTTACTACAGTGATCCCATATTGGCCCTATTAATGGAAGTATTGAACTACCAGGAAAATGTATTTTATTAAAAGGAAAGAGTTTAACAGCCCGTGTGTTTTGGAATGGGTGGACTAATCTGTCTGGCTCATTAACTTCACTTTTAGAGTTGGGTTGACCTCTGAACGATGCCAACAACAGCATCGCACACTTGAGTCAATCTGATGATGTACTTTCACAATATTCTTTCTCAACCCTGTGCTGTGTAATCTATTCATGAGAAAGTACAGATAGGTGGTAGCAGACAGGAAGGTCTTTAACATAAAAGTTTTTCCAGTGATACAAAGTACAAGAATCTGAGTTTATCAAAGCGCACTAAGTTTTAGCTATGATTATATCATATTTTCCAAAATGTGGTGCCATTTTAGCCGTCTTTGTCCTGAGTGTCGGCACTGGACACTTTTATCGCTGCAGTGTATGAGCATGCTGTTATGTTACCAAACAGAACAGAAACTCCTGAGCCAGCACTCCGGTGCTGGCTCAGTAGTTGTGGCACATGGGCTTAGTTGTTCTGCAGCATGTAGGATCTTCCTGGACCAGGACTCGAACCCGTGTACCCTGAATTGGTAGGTGGATTCTTAATCATTGCGCCACCAGGGAAGTCCCTATTCCCATTTTAAATATGAAGAAAAGAAGGGAGGGCTTCCCTGGTGGCGCAGTGGTTGAGAGTCCGCCTGCCGATGCAGGGGACACAGGTTCGTGCCCCGGTCCGCGAAGATCCCACATGCCGCGGAGCGGCTGGGCCCGTGAGCCATGGCCGCTGAGCCTGCGCGTCCGGAGCCTGTGCTCTGCAACGGGAGAGGTCACAACAGTGAGAAGCCCGCGTACCGCCAAAAAAAAAAAAAGAAAAAAAAAAAGAAAAGAAGGGAGCTTAAGGTTTCACAATTGGTAATTAGCCTGGCTGGAATTCAAACACAGCCATTTCCACTGAGCCACACTAACGGAATGGACTTCTGAGTGCCTGGAAGCACCATCTTATACTTGAAATTTCCAGTGACTAGTGAATCCACTTCTTAGCGTGTCCTGGTTGCTAGAAATTTTAATCTTATTTTCCACTGAAATCATCTATCTATGACTTCCTTTGGTGTTCATACTGCGCCTATCGTATATTAAGATACGTGACTCATCTTCTTCAAATTAGAATCTTTCAATTATTTGAAGCCAGCTATAATCCCAGCTATTTCCTCACCTCACTCCCTTCTTATTTCTAGGGTAAATATCCCCAAGGTGGGTGGTTTGGGCATTACTCCGAAAAGCAATTTCATACTCTGTATTTATCCCAGGGTTTCACTCAAGGGCCCTCTAAGATAGAAGGGAAGCTATTGTGTTGCATTGACAAATGGGGACACTGAGACTGCATAGTGAAATTCTTTTTTCCTTTTCTTTTCTTTCCTTTTTAAAAATATTTCTGGTACCTAATGCTGCATTTGTTCTCTGTAGAAGATGATCTGCCTGGGCCCAACTCTATACTGCCTCCTAGTAGGACTGTGGCTTGGATTATGGAAAAGGTCCTCCCCATTAGAAAAGTGTTAAATTTCAAGCCCTTCATTTGTGCTCCTAGGAGAACATCATAAGAAAATGTGTTGCTTCTCTTCTTTCTCATCTTCCCCCTCAGTTTGCTCTGTGCTTCAGTCTTGCACTGCCATCCTGAATCTGTCAGTTAAAAAATAGGTTAGTTTTCATAAAGAAGAAGATTGTATTACATGTGAGTTTTTAAATCTTTACTGTTGATTCTTAACCTAGAGCTGTTGTGTGTTATAGGTAACGGGCAAATAAAGTATCACTTTGGAAGTTCCAAAATCACTAACACACAGTGAGTTTAAGGCAGTATCTATTGAATTAGGTTTGGCCGCAGCCCAGTGCAAGAAAGGCTCAGCTGTCTGGCCAAGGACAACTCTATCTACATTGTGGCAAATGTTGGGGATGAGAAGCCATGCAATGCCAGTGACCCTCAGTGTCCCCCTGATGGTCGTTACCAATACAACACTGATGTGGTGTTTGATCTGAGGGTAGGCTGGTGGCTCCCTACCACAAGATGAGAATTACTTGTGCCTTAGCTAAGCTCGATTTACTTCTCTCTCTCTTTTTTTTTTTTTTTTGCGGTACGTGGGCCTCTCACTGTTGTGGCCTCTCCCGTTGCGGAGCACAGGCTCCGGACGCGCAAGCTCAGCGGCCATGGCTCACGGGCCCAGCCGCTCCGCGGCATGTGGGATTTTCCCGGACCGGGGCACGAACCCGTGTCCCCTGCATCGGCAGGAGGACTCAACCACTGCGCCACCAGAGAAGCCCCTCGATTTACTTCTTTTGTTTGTGATATCTAGGTATATTTGTCTGTGAATGCTGGTGAGGGAACTGTTGTGAATGCGTTTCTGAATTATTACCTTTAGTTGAAAAAGGGATTTAACTTACTTTGATTTCGTATAAGCGTTCTGAATTTGAATTAGTCATAAAATAGAATCTACCAGACTATTTATTTATTTATTTTTATATATTTTATTGTTGGCTGTGTTGGGTCTTCGTTTCTGTGCGAGGGCTTTCTCTAGTTGTGGAGAGCGGGGTCACTCTTCATCGCGGTGCGCGTGCCTCTTCACTATCGCGGCCTCTCTTGTTGCGGAGCACGGGCTCCAGACGCGCAGGCTCAGTAGCTGTGGTGCACGGGCCTAGTAGCTCCGCAGCATGTGGGATCCTCCCAGACCAGGGCTCGAACCCATGTTCCCTGCATTAGCAGGCAGATTTTCAACCACTGCGCCACCAGGGAAGCCCAAATCTACCAGACTATTAAAGCAGATGTGCTAATAGCTGCACGAGGATTTTACTATTCACTGAGAAAGGAGAAATGCTCAGTTTCATCACAAGATTTAGTACTAGAATTAGTTTTTTGACCCAATTTTGTAACATTTGGTATTAAGCTGTAGTCATTCATTTCCTTAGGACTTTTTTGATTGCAATGATAGAAAAACCCTCCAACTGAAATTGGCTTAAAAAAACAACAACAGCACAGAATTTCCTTGCTTAGGTACCTGAGAAAATATAAATCACAGAAAGGGTAGGTCTAGTTTCCGATGCAGTCTGTCCCTCAGAGGCCCAGAAGATGTCAGCCATCCCTCTAGCTCTCTTATTCCTTTGTTACAACTTTTTCCCAGGATGACTGTCCTTTCAGAAGCCACATGGCTGCTCATCACAAAGCACATATCCTAATAGCAACAAAATCCAGAGGAAGACTGCATTTCTCTTTCCTAGAAACCCTGCAAAAACCTTAGCCTTCCTTGACTCCAAATCAGCCACATGCCGCCTTCAAGTCGATCACCTGGGGATGAAGGATGGGCTACCCCCTGAGCCGAGGGCCAAGGAGCTTGGGATGCTCACTGGTCGGGTGGGGGTGGGGTGTTGCCTGAGCACATATGCACACATCAGGCCAAATAGAAACGTGAGCAGAACATAAGGCTGTTCTGAGCCCAAGGTAGTTGGAGTTTGGGAGCAATAATCAGGCTGGAAAAAAAATTCTACTGGCTTACTAATTAACAAGGTTTAGCTATTACATTGTCTAAATTAAGTTCCAATCTACGTCACCTCACTTATATAGACCTAGCAGTACCATGGGGAGACATGACAAAGTTTATTTTATTACCTTGTTAGACTTCACATGGACAGTGCTGTTGGTATTTAAAGAATAGAGTGGAAAACCATCAGAAATTTGTGAGGTTCAAAATTTCAAGTGATTTTAAAACAAATAATCACCTTTTAAATATCATTTGTAGGGGATTCCCTGGTGCCACAGTGGTTAAGAATCTGCCTGCCAATGTAGGGGACACGTGTTCAATCCCTGGTCCGGGAAGATCCCACATGCTGTGGAACAGCTAAGCCCGTGCACCACAACTACTGAGCCTATGCTCTAGAGCCCGTGAGCCACAACTACTGAGCCCGCAAGCCACAACTACTGAGCCCACGTGCCACAACTACTGAAGCCCACACGCCTAGAGCCCGTGCTCCGCACCAAGAGAAGCCACCTCAATGAGAAGCCTGCACACAGCAACAGAGAGTAGCCCCAGCTCGCCACAACTAGAGAAAGCCCATGCACAGCAACAAAGACCCAACGAAGCCATAAATAAATTAATTAATTAAAAATAAATAATATCATTTGTAGATATGAACTCATTAGTTGATTCATAGGTTGTGGGAAAATGAAGTGTTCTGATGAATGTCACAGTGAGAAAACTCACAGACAGTGGTATACTGGGTATAATTTACACTAATTTATGTGTAACAGTTTTAAGTGTGCACACCAACCTGCATGCAAGAAAAGATTTTGAAGATACTGATCACTTCTATTTGAGAGTTTTCTTACTAATCTTCCCCTTCTTTGCATTTCCCTTAACAGTACAATCTTTTTGCACCTGAAATTCAATTTGATTTCCCCAAGGACTCAGAACTTGTGACTTTTGACGCTCCCTTTGGGAAGTTTGGCATTTTCACTTGTTTTGACATTTTTTCTCATGACCCAGCTGTGATGGTGGTGGAAGAGTTTCAGGTTGACAGCATTCTCTACCCCACGGCCTGGTACAACACGCTGCCCCCTCTCGGCGGTCCCCTTCCACCCGGCATGAGCCCGAGCCCTGGGAGTCAACCTGCTTGCTACCAATACCCACAACACGAGCATGCACATGACACGTACCTCACCCTGGTTCTGCCCCAACAGGCAGCCACAGTCTTGGGAAGCCTTCAATCATTTTCAAGCCACGCTTTTCTTTAAAGATTCTTCTATTAACCCCAACGTCACAAAATTAATAAGAGCATGGGCTTCTATACCAACATTATTTAAGGAACATTATTACTGGGAGTAAAGAAGGAGGCAAACATTATATTCTCAGTTTCACGCGAGGGGAAATTGGAGTTAGAGAGAACTCAAGTTACATTAAAAAAGCAAAGCCAGAGGTAAAGGACGCTGCAGCTAACATCCACGAGTAATATTGAAATAAATCTTGCTGTTGAGGTGATAAAATCACTTTAGACTTAATCAGGTTTTTAGAGTTTATCCTTTATAGTATCCACTTTCAAGGTAAAGCAGCCTCCCCTCCACTTTCAAGGTAAAGCAGCTTTGTTCTTCATTGATCCAGGTGAAGAATCTCAAACACATAAATTAGATAGGTTAGTGGAGAGCTAAAATTGTTCTTCATGTTTGAGAGATTTTCTGGTTTACTGTTAAATTGGCTAAAGAAAGGGGAGTTTAAGTTAAAAAAAAAAAAAGCTATCTAAGTCATATAGTTTCTGTGTAAGCAGTCCCATACGGAGGACTCAGAGTCAAATTGGAATTTAGGTCAATGTAAAGCTCTCTCCCTCCTTATCTTGAAAATGCTTATGCTTTCATAACTTTATATTTCAGTTCTTATGGAAGTCATTCTATTAGTTTGTCACCATGCAAAATTTGAAACCAATATTTGTGTTTCTTTATGTCACCCGTAGAAAGTGGAATCTGCTCACCGGAGGCTGTCAAGGTGCATTACTATGACATGGAAACAGAGTGGCCAGCGGATGCTCTCAGAATTGAAGTCCCGGCCTCGAAGAGAACCCAGTTACTCTGCAGCTGTTCACTGGAGTGCTTATGCCAGAGGTGTCAAGCCATTCTTATGTGAACGGTTGAATTTTCCAGGGATGATTTATTTTGATGCGTTCACCTTCACTAAGCTTGAGAGAGACACAGGAAATTACACAGTTTGTCAGAAAGACCTGTGTTGTCACTTAACTTACAAGATGTCTGAGAAACGAACCAATGAGGTATATGCACTAGGTGCCTTTGACAGACTGCGCATGGTAGAAGGCCAGTATTACTTACAGGTAGAAACACTCAGATATGTTAGAATGGCTCTTCTACTGATTTGTCTTCTAGGTCATCATTGCATTTCTTTAAGAATTGTGCTGGATTCAGTTAATTGGAATGGTGTTACATTTGTCACTGAACTTTTCTCCCTAGAACACATTACTTGTTCAGTCTTAGTGAGAACAGAATTAGAGCTGCAAGGTAAAAACATGAAGCAGATTGATTAGTTCTCAGCAGACTGGGTTCAAGTTTAAAAAGCTACAACCCCCATATACTCTCTTTTTCTGTCAGGTTACTTTAGAGCTGTGTTTTGCAAACTGTCTTCATCTAGAGTCCAGAGCAAGAAGTCCATTTCACATCATAAACAAGCACAGTCAAGATGTATGACTGAGTTAAAAGAGATATTTAATTGAAACAAACATTTTATAAAATAATTCAAATCAGGGCTTCCCTGGTGGCGCAGTGGTTGAGATTCCGCTGCCGATGCGGGGGACACGGGTTCGTGCCCCAGTCAGGGAAGATCCCACATGCCACGGAGCGGCTGGGCCCGTGAGCCATGGCTGCTGGGCCTGCGCGTCCGGAGCCTGTGCTCTGCAACGGGAGAGGCCACAACAGTGAGAGGCCCGTGACCTGAAAAAAAAATAAAAAATAAAAAAATAATTCAAATCAGAATTAGAAATAGCTATAATTATAACCAACATACTCTAGTTTTGAAAATTCTAGTCTACTCCATTTTGCTTCATTGATAAAAGGGCTAATCTTGACTCACTAAATTAATTTTAGGATTTACTAATAGATTATGAGCTGCAATTGAAAAAAAAAAACTACTTAAGAGGCAACTTAACAAATATTCTTCTATTCTTTGAAATTGGATTTTTAGCTGAGAAAATATTTCCAAGATTTCCAACCACTTTTCTTTTCCTACACAGGTATGCACATTACTGAAGTGTCAAACCACTGACCTGAGAACTTGTGGAGAGCCTGCGGGGTCAGCTTTTACCAAGTTTGAAGAACTCTCCCTCAGTGGCACATTTGGAATGAGTTATGTTTTCCCACAGATCATTCTTAGTGAGAGTCAGCTTGCCCCTGAAAGACATTATGAGGTAGGAGATTTTCAGGAGGATAAATTCCTTTGAACAGATGCAGTAGACTGGCATAATGAAACTCGTTGAAACAATGAGACAACATGGCAACATTGTCGTTCACCTTATTCAAGCAACTTATACAAAGAAGCTATGATATGGAAGACAAGTTGTGGTTCTAGACTGTCCTTAGGCTGTGGTGGAGAATTTGGGGTTTATTTTTCTACATAAATGTGATTTTGAGATCCAAGGGAACAAGGAGATTATGGAAGAATTAAAATAAAAATATTGATTGCCAATGATAGCCGGCAACTAATGTTTTCCTTTTTTGCATAGTGGAGAAGGTTCAAGTTGAATACATTAAATAATGCATCTATAACTTATTTCATGGGTTCATTATTCTGCGTAGTTATAATAATGATAGTAATAATGGATACTTTGTATAGCTTCATGAATTAAAAAAAAATCCTCGTTTTTATACATTATCTTACTTAATCCTCAGGGCAATAGATTTATTTGCTACACGTTCATCCAAAGTCCCTCTGATACTATTAGACATGTAGAGCTGAAACAGGGGTCTTCTGACTCCAAATTTTGTGTGCTTTTGATTATTTCATGTTGCTTTTAGAGTGATGTTGTCAGAGAAGGCTTCTGGGCTGGAACCAACTCTGCATTGAAGTTAATCCTTTGCTTTCTTTGATTGGGTTTCAGGAGATGGACGTCTGCAGAGCTGAGGCGGAGCCCCTTTGCCTTTCTTGGTTCTGGCCCTGTATGGAAGAGTGTTTGAGAGGGACCCTCCGCACTTAGGGCAGGGAACTGGGCAACTGCCATGATCTCCTTCACCACCATCCTTTCAGGATTAGCCTGGCAAAGAGAGAGGGAAAAGAGAGAGTCTTTAGTGTCTGTTTAGAAGAGATGTCATCACTTTGCTGAAACAACAAACTTAAGAAGACTTAAAAAGCAATTGGATGTGTGTGCACATTTTTACATATTCATTTCTGGGAGCTGCATGCATCTTCTGTGTGGGTGCACTTAAGTATGTGTCAGTATGTCTATGTATAGTGCAACATGTATTTATGGGAGGGGAGCCTAGAAGAGTCCTTTTGTGGTAACTTCTCTAACGTATGCAAATATTGTGTCTCTCATTTGTAAATGCACAGGGTAAGCGTTGAAAATGCGGAGGGTATTTGGTCCTAGTCTTTAGGATACAGGAAGTTAAAAAACAAGGGTATCTTTTAAAGTAATTATGAATGACTTTTATAACAAATTAAAATTGTTCCATTATCTCTTTATTCTACCTTTATGGAATATTTGTATGGAAATTAGATACTTGTGAAGGGAAATTTAGAAAGAGATAAATGAATAAATGATCTCCTTCAGACCACACGCTGTTTCCTTCTGAAATTATTCTTTCCTAAAATTTACCCAATCCTGGTTAGAGCCCCTCATACTCATGGATTTGTTGCAGCCTGTGCCAGACAGGAACTTCCTCAGAAAAGGCTACCCTGTTAGCTTTCTCCCAGTTACCTTTGTCCCCTTGACCCTGGCACCCTGAGTCCTTTCCCTGGTTTGTCATTTATTAACTCTGGGAAGAGACACACATGAGAATAGCAGTGCTCTCTAGGATGTGTGGGAGAGGTTGAGGATGACTCTGAGTTTAGGGACACCTTTCTCTTCCCTTAAAAGATATGACAACTGCTTTCCTAATCTTTTCTCAGGTGTTCATTTCTACTCGGTTTAAATCGATCCAGTTCCAGGAAGCTAGAGACATTCTGGGCAGCAGAAAATGCCCTTTGTCTCTCTGTTTCCATTTTACCTGGAATCTCTCTCCAGGGGCTACAACACTCGATGATAGGATGCTACCTATGCCCTAGACTCCTCCGCTTGTGCAGGATGTGACCTTCTTCCCCTTCATGAATATGAATGTACTCTCAGCTTAAAACTTCCCCAGTTTTGCTGTTCGGGAGACACTGCATTGGGAAATATCCCCGGTGTTCTTCTTACTTGTTGGAAGTAAAAAAATCCTTCCTTCTGCTCTTTGGCTTGATTGCATCTTTTGGCTCAACACCCAGCAAGAGGCAAACCCAGTGTGGGGGTAACATTAGGGGTCAGGAGATTCTGCTCAGGCATCATAGCGGAGGCTATTTGGTGTCCCACCGGTTCTAATTTAAGCTGATGGATGGCATTCTACTGCAAGAACCACAATTGTCCACCTAAAGGCTTCTCCCAGCTGGTATGTGCCAAGGTAGGCCAGAAATGCCAGCTTGATGTGGTAGTAAATGTCGGGGGAGGGGAAGGGTTCTATAGCCCAGTGATTAAATCTCTCTCTTGTAGTGGGCTTGTGTTCCTGGGCTGTGACCTTCACAAGTGTTTCTTAGCTGTTTCCTTTCCCTTTGGTTGGGACAGGCAAGCTAGAAGGGGTTTAGAGATGGGGTTTCCCTGTCCCCCAGGAAGGTTAGGCTCTAGTAAATTGTTTCCATGGAAGGCAGGCTTTGGTTAAGAGAACAGAATGCTCCGGACTTACTTCAAAGTAGGTGTATTTTTCCTCCTCCTAGAAGAAGCACAAGGTGTTTTATTTCCTCTTTACTTGCCCAGAGAACCTGGTTGGGCTTCTGGAGTGAAAGTCACAAAAGCGTCAGGGCCCCCCAACAATGAAACCTCCTCCACCTTCATCCCCCCATTTGTATCTCTCGAGCCTGCCCATGCTGAACCTCTGGCCATGCGTCAAAGACAGTTGAAGTGACAATACCAGGACTGGCTCCAGCAGTGGACTTCTGCTACGGGCAAGCCTGTCTCTCTAACTCTGGGGGCAGTGATTTGTCCTGTGAGTCCAGTTCTCTGATGTACCTAAAAAAGTTGCTGCTTTTCAGTTGTTCAGCTTTTTTCTTATTGAGAAAATGGTAGAGATGACTTGCAAGCTCTTTCTATATCAGACTAGAAACACAATGGGAGCTTCTTATTTAATATTTTTATTCTAATAAGATCAAAGAAGTAATTTTTTTAATCTCTTGGTGACTCATTCCAGTTTTAACTTTTATTTCAGAGCTTCCTTTATAAATTCTTATGGAATGACTGCATCTCCTTGTAAAAAATTAATAAACAGAAACCTCAATTAAGTAGAGCTGGAAGACCAGAGGGGGAGTTCTTGTGCCCCGTGACAATAGCAGAGCCAAACAGGAAGAAGACCACTTCTCTTCTTCCTGGAAGGGACTCAGCCAAGGAAAAGCCATGGACTTTTTGATTATTCTAGCCCTCTCAACTTCCTTTTTCGCTCTAGGTGAGCATTCTCCTTCCCTTGCCGTGCGGGGGCTCACCATGGTGGCAGATCCTGAGTTGTAGTTCTCTGCAGATCCCGGATAAAGCCATCTTTGCTGGAGAAATATATGGTAGTCTGTTTTGGGTCAACACCCTTGTGAAGTATGTGTATCCCCCCCACCTGGGAAGGGAAAGCCCAAAGGAGGTCAGCAAGCAGAGGGAGCTGGTATTTGCTATAGACTTAGGAAGACCGGGCAAACAGCCTCCTGGCTACTTTGGCAGTCAAAGAATAAATTTACTGTAGTACTGAAGTAAAAAAAAAAAAAAAAATCATACATACCCATCTGCAAATTGAACTATAAAAACACCATCCAAAGTGAAATCTAAAAACAAAACAAACAAACACTAATTCTGTAAATATAAAATATGTTATACTTAATTCACAAGTAAAATAAAATTTGTGGGCTTCCCTGGTGGCGCAGTGGTTGAGAGTCCGCCTGCCGATGCAGGGACACGGGTTCGTGTCCCGGTCCGGGAAGATCCCACATGCCACAGAGCGGCTGGGCCCGTGAGCCATGGCCGCTGAGACTGTGCGTCCGGAGCCTGTGCTCCGCAACGGGAGAGGCCACAACAGTGAGAGGCCCGCGTAGATTGCAAAAAAAAAAAAAAAAAAATTTGCCTACTTTTTCCATACCAAAATCTATAAGCTCTTTTTCTATTTTCTATTATTTTCCTCTCTTCTCTCTCCCTCTATCTCCCTCTTATTCTCCCTCTCATTCTTTATACTCCCCTCTCTATGACTCGTATGGTATGCAGCCTCTAAGATGGTCCCCAATGATCCCTGCCTCATTCATGCCCTTGTGTAGTCCCCTCCCAACAAGTGTACTTACTTGCTTTTAATGAATACAATACAACAAAAATGGTGGGCTGTCACTTCCCAGATGACAATACTAAAGACTGTGACTTCTGTCTTGGGTGGTGGGCTCTCTTGCTCTCTGGCTTTGAAGGAACCTACATGCCATAATGTGAGTGTTCTTTTAGTGTGGCCTGAGGCCTTTGTGGCCAAGAACTTATTGGTCCATAACCAGTGAGGACCCAACGCCTGCCATCAGCTGTGTGAGCCTGGAGCTGAGAAGTGAATCTTTCCCCAGTCATGTTTTGAGGTAACTGCAGCCTTTGCAGACTTGTGAAAGAGACCCTTGGCCTGAGGAACCCAGCCAAGCTGCCCCAGGATTCCTGACCCACCGAAAATGTGAGATCATACATGCTTGCTGTTAGAAGCCACTACTTTTGGAGGGTGATCTGTTACATAGGAATGGACAATGAATAGCCCTTTTATATTCCCCTTTGTTCTGACTCTTTGCCATTTTGTGCAAACTAAAGTGAAAAAAGTATGAAGCTCAAATATTCACATGTTGATATTAATAATAATTTCAAAATTGAAAAGTTATTTTTCAAATTATTTACATAGACTACTAGGTGCTGAAGTTCTCAATGTACGAATTCCAAAAATCCATGTGTTTAAGTCTTAACACCCTGTACCCCAGAAAGTGACCTTATCTGGAAATAATATCATATCAGATGTAATTCGTTAAGATGACGTCTTACTGGAGTAGGGTGGGCACTAAATCCATTAACACGTGTCCTTGTAAAGAGAGAAAATTGGGACTCAGGTATGCACATAGGGAGAATACCGGGTGAAGACACACAGGGAGAAGACAGCAAAGCACCGGGAAAGAGGCGTGAACAGATCTTTCCCTCACAGCCCTCAGGAGGAACCAATTCTGCTGACTCCCTTCCTCTGAAACTTCTAGCCTCCAGAAATGACAGAGAATACATTTCCGTTGCTTAAGCCACCCAGTGTGTGGTACTTTGTTATGACAACCCTAGCGAAGGAAAACACATATGCATTTTCTTATTTGATCCTCAAAAACTCTTGCAAAAAGAAGGTCATTTGTTACATAAAATCTGATTACATCTACATCTATGATGTAAAACCAGAAGGCTTTCTTAAACTTAGCTTTTGTAATTTATTTTTAAAGTACTAAGTTCTGGGAACCACGTGATTTCTCCCTGTAAATATCAGGGCTTGCTCTGCTTTTCAGCAATCGTTGGACTTCAGCATGACTATGTCTCAGTTGCTGGATTATGCGGCAATTTTCTTTCTCTGTGTCTTAACAGCCAGCTCTCTGGATACGTTTACTGCAGCTGTATATGAGCATGCAGTGATATTGCCTAATGCCACCCTGATGCCGGTGTCCCATGAAGAGGCCTTGCTATTAATGAACCAAAATCTGGATCTTTTGGAGGAAGCAATCACATCAGCATCAAAGCAGGTACCCTTTCTCAAGTGTGCTGGCTTCTACGTAGAGAAAAGGGTGGGGTCTTAGGAGACAGAATCACTGTCAGGGTCAATTACACTTTTGAATGACATATGTGTCAGGGTAGCCAAGTCCTTCTTTTACAGAGTCCTCCCTGCTCCTAGTTATTAGAGCAAAGACACTATTACATGCTTCCCTTGTAGTGAGAGCAACATTTTGAAAAGAATGGCTGATTATTAAGTGGCAACAAACTTTTGAGGAACTTGCTGTAAATTCAACAATTTTGTTGCTCTTTTCTGCTACAGATGGAGGGTGAAGGACAGATGGGTGAGGGATCAGTTGCTATTCTTAGAGTGTTTGTGGCCTTGGTGTACTTTTGTGCTCTTAAGAGTTTGTAGGTTTCTAGGTTAGTTCATAATACCAAGACAATTAAACGTAAATTGCATTGTGTATTATATACAGTGTGTATTATATACTTCATACTTCATTCTAATTACAAGACAAAAGTACATATGGTAATGCATAGTAAGTCCTTGAGTTGAATGAAGGGTTAAGTTTAAGTGTGTGGTTTGGACGAATCTAGTTGAAATAAGCTATTTGTAGATCAGGTAAACAAGGGATATATAAAGTCTGATGAAAGTTATGGATATATACGTATGACATATATCTATCAACATACATTCTTCTACATGCAAAGATTTAAAAAGGTTATTAAGGGGACTTCCCTGGTAGTGCAGTTGTTAAGACTCCGAGCTCCCAATGCAGGGGGCCTGGGTTCGATCCCTGGTCAGGGAACTAGATCCCACATGCATGCTGCAACTAAGAGTTCGAATGCCACAACTAAGGAGCCAGTGAGCTAAAACTAAGGAGCCTGCATGCCGCAACGAAGACCCAGTGCAACCAAACAAATTAATTAATTAATTAGAAAGTTATTAAGAATTCTGAGGTTCTTTTTCACCTTAGTCCAACTATTTCCTTAAAGGCCACACAGCAGCTTCCAGGATGGCCCTCCTACTGAAGGCGCCCAGGTGAGCTCACGTTGTACCTCTAGGCCTGGCACCCTTCAGGTAACTGTGTCAGAGGTCCCTTCTGAGAAGCAGGACATTTGCAGGGTATGAGGCAGGAAAGGCTGGGTGGAGGCAAATAACTGGCCAAAGGTCAGGGAGAGGGTTTATCCAGGGAAGAGTTAGGTTTATAGTTAACAACCACAGTGAATGGTAGAGGCTGAGAATAGCCTGGAAAAATATTAACAGCCATGAAAGGATGAAAAAGTTACATAGAAATGATTACTGTGGGATTAGAAAATGAAATTGGTTGGACAAAGAAAATAAATTATAAAAATATAGAAAGCAAAAGAATAAGGTGGTAAAAAAAAACCCTGAATGTTTGTTCTTCAGCCACTCAGGTCCTCTTGCAGGCCCCATTTTTGACTGTTTGCTTATTTGAGAAATATTTTGATTCAGCTCCGTTTTTAACAGGGTGCACATATTATTGTGACTCCAGAAGATGGTATTTACGGCTTTAACTTCAACAGGGAATCTATCTACCCATACTTGGAGGATATCCCAGACCCTCAAGTGAACTGGATCCCTTGTAATAATCCCGACAGGTAAAGAAACATATTGTGGAAAATTTAATCATGAACATGAAATTACTTTACCTGGGAAAACTTTGTAGAAGATCACTGTATAAGATTTACTATTGACTCTAAGTTTCAAGATAGTTTTATAATTTTTCATCTCCTACAGACATGTGTATTAGGAAAATGAATATGAATTATGATATCACAAAAGTCAGTGCTGTAACATAACATAGAAATGATCAAATTCAATGTGAATTTCCACTGGGGGAATGATCTGGAGATGATAGCATAACTTAGGGCCACAGGGTGGTTGGCTAGAGGAAGAACCATATCCAAACTCACCTCTTCTGACTCCTTGCCAGTGAACAGAAAATTGTTTCCCTATGTAGGTCTGTACTTTTAAAACTAAGTGAGAAAATAGTGAAACAGAGTCACATGTCAGTTTAAGATTAAAATTTTTCCTTTCACATTAATAAGATAGCTGGATGAGTTTAATATATATGAAATTCTTAAAGCTTAATGTGATAACCTAGGAGGTGATATAGCAGAACTGTGTAAGTGTTTTACATCAAGTCTAGAATAAGAAATATGAAGTCTGATAAAAGTAGCACTATTGGGGCTTCCCTGGTGGCGCAGTGGTTGACAGTCCGCCTGCCGATGCAGGGGACGCGGGTTCGTGCCCCAGTCGGGGAAGATCCCACATGCCGTGGAGTGGTTGGGCCCGTGAGCCATGGCTGCTGAGCCTGCGCGTCCGGAGCCTGTGTACCGCAACGGGAGAGGCCATGACAGTGAGAGGCCCACGTACCACAAAAAAAAAAAAAGCTATGGCGATAATCTAGGCAGAGGGATTATGGTGTTTGGATGAAGATGGTAGAAGTTTGGATATTAAGAAATGACCAGATTCCGAATAAAGTCTGAAGGTGGCTCTGACAGGTTTTGCTCAAAGATTGAATGTAGGATGAGAAAGGAAGAGAGGAGTCCAGCTCCTTTACCCCTCGCATACAACCAGATATCATGCCTTGTTGAGTATGTTTGACATATCCAGAGTTGATTACTTTCTTTTCTCAAAGTCACCAACCTTTTGGAGGGGGGGGTCTGCATCAGCACTTAGCCTGGGTGTTATGGGAACAGACCCTCGTTATTTCTCTTTTTAATTTTATTTATTTATTTAGCATTTATACTTCACATGCTTCCAGAAAGATCTGAGGCTTCTTACAAAATCTTATATAATTAAAAAACACAACAGTTTAGATGTAAAAACAAAGTAGAAGCTACCTGAATAAAGTAGAGGAAGTAGTTGTTACAAGGCAGCATGGTAGTGGGCTGACAATTACAAATGAACATACAATACAGTTCTGTGAGTTCCTGGGAGGCTGAGAGGAAGAATATGACTTACAAGCTTTCATTGCCTCGCAGAAGAAACCTTGTAGATTTCTTGAGAGACAAACTGTGTCTAGGAGCCTAACTCAAAGATGAATTTACTTATTCAGCTTTCTTTTCCTTGACTATTTCCTATGTACTGGGTACTCCACTGTGGGAATGAGTAGGAATTCTTGAACAAGGGACATCCTTTAATACAGCGAATGTCTGCACCTCTGATAAAGGTGATGTGGCCTGCAGATTAAAGAGTCAGTCATTAGTTCAATAAGTTAAAAAAAAAAACTTGTCTAATTAGCTAGCTTGAATGAAAAAGCATTTTGATACTTGATTGCATATAATTTTGTACTGTTGTTTCAGGGTTTTGTGTGCATACACATTTTCTCCAGTAAGATTAGAGGATTTTGAAGTGCACCAGCCATATTTTACACTGTATCTCCCACACTGTGCACTTGGACAGCTCTGCCCAGAATGTCCTTTCCCCAGATGCCTACATATCTAACATGGTGCTTTGTGTAGTGCTAGGACCCAACAAATATTTTTTGAATATTTCATAACATTTTTAAGGTTAATAAATGTCTTCTTCAATAATTGATGACTTGTATTAATATTTTGAGATTGAACACTTTGAAAGCAGTCTTAGAAAATATATTTTAATTCTTCTGTTTCACCTCCTTTTTCTGTTCCCAGTAGCCCTAGGACAGAGCTCTGCATACCTTAAGGGCTCAGCAAATATTAAGGATTAAGTGAGAAGCAGATTTCAGGCTCACATAAGCAAAATGCATTTTTTAAACTCCAAATCTAACAAAGAATTTTGGAGCTTTTCTGGGTATAGCAAACAGTCTGAAAAATGTAGTTTAAATCGAAATGTATTAAAATACATGATGCACTTTCAAGATTAATATAGACAGGAGGAAAATATGTAATCGGGACTGTTTTAGAAATCCAGAACAGTAAGCTTCTATTTCATGTATCTATTCTACCACTTCAGGTGATTTGAAAAGACATGGGATAAATATACTTCAAGTGGTCCAATGTATTGTATTTATATCTGCATTTCAGATATGACTTGAAGCACACAAGGGAGGAAAACTATCAAATGGTTATTTTTTATATAAATGCACTGAGATAATAATTTTTTAAGATGCAGTTTCCTATCCTTGTTGGTCTTTTTCAGTGATATGTTTTGTGTATGACTGCTATGGTTTTTCTTATATTGCTAGCAGATGACACCAAATTTTCTTGTAGTAAGTTCTCAGATCTAATGTACAGCATGGTGACTATAGTTAACAATACTGTATTGTATATTTGAAAGTTGCTTTGGGAGTAGATTTTAAATGTTCTCACCATAACAACAATAAAATTGTAATTCTGTGAGGTGAAGGATAATCACATTGTGGTAAGCACTTATCAATATATACATGTATCAAATCATCACATTTTACATCTTAAACTTATACAGTGTTATATACCACTTCTATCTCAATGCAACTGGGGAATAAACACAATAACTCCTGACTTCCCCCTCCCTTCAGCCCTTGGCAGCCATCATTCGACTTCCTTTCTCTATAAATAACCACTCTAGCTACTTCATATAAGTGGAATTGTACCTTATTTATCTTTTTGTGATTGGCTTATTTCACTTAGCATAATGCTCTTAAGGTTCATCTACAATGTAGCATGTTCAGAACTTCCTTTCCTTTTAAGGAAAGTATGAATATGAGTATGAATAATACTCTATTTTATGTATATAGTACAACATTTTGCTTGTCCATTTATCAATCGATGGATATTTGGGTTTCTTCTACCTTTTAACTATTGTGAATAATGCTGCTATAAACGTGAGTGTACAAACATGTCTTTGAGGCCCTGCTTTCAACTTTTTGGATATATACACAAACATGTAATTGCTGGATCATATGGTAGTTCTATTTTTAATTTTTTGAGGAACTGCTAGACTGGTTTCCACAGTGGCTGCACCATTTACATTCTCATCAACAGTGCTCAAGTGTTCCAGTTTCTTCAAATCCTCACCAGCAGCTGTTCTTCTATTTTTTTTTTAATAGTTGCTATCTTAATGGGTTTGAGGTATCTTGTCATGATTTTGATTAGCATTTCCCTATAATTAATGAAGTTGAGCATATTTTCATGTGCTTATTGGCCATTTGTGTATCTTCTTTGGAGAAAATTTTGTTCAAATATTTTGCCTATTTATTTAATTTTTTGGGCTGCGTTGGGTCTCAGTTGCGGTAACCAGGGATTGATCCTGCATCCCCTGCATTGAAAGGCAGATTCTTTACCACTGGACTACCAGAGAAGTCCCTTTTTTTTTTTTTTAAATTTATTAATTAACTAATTAATTTTATTTTGTGTTTTTTGCCTATTTTTGAATCAGGTTTGTGTTGCTGTTGTTGATTTTTAAGAGTTCCCTTTGTACTCTGGATATTAATATATAATGTCCTTTGTTTCTCATAACCTTTTTTGATTTAAAGTCTATCTGGTCTAATATTAACATAGAATATCTTAATTTCTCCCTCACTTTTGAAGGATGGTTTTGCCAGAGACAGGGTTTTTAGTAACTGTATTATTCTTTCAACACTTTAAATATATCAGCCCATTGTTTCCTGGCCTCCAAATTGTCTGATTAAAAACTGCTGATAATCTTAGTGGAGATCCCTTGTACATTATAAATCACTTCTCTCTTGTTGCTTTCAAAATTATGATTTTGTCTTTGTCTTTTGAAAGTTTGATTATAATGTGTCTTAATATGGGTCTCTTTGAGCTCATCCTTTTTAGAGATCATTGCCTGTTTGAGTCTGTCTTTGAATCTCTTTTGTAAATTTTCTGTTTCAGTTACTGTCATTTTCAGCCCCAGAATTTGGGGAGGGGGCGGGGTTTCTATCTCTTTATTGATATTTCCATTTTGTTCATACATCATTATCTTGACTTTCTCCATGTCTTTCTTTAGTTCTTTGAACATCGTTAAGACAGTTGTCTTAAAGTCTTTGTCCAGCAGGTATGCCATATGGTCTTTCTCCAGGATAGTTTTTACTGGTTTATTTTTTCCCTTTGAATGGGTCATATTTTCCTGTTTGCATGCCTTACGATTTTTTCTTGATAAGTGGGCATCTGAATCTTATAATGTGATAACTCTGGAAATCAAATTCTCCCCCTTTTTCAGGGTTTTATGTCTTTTGTTTGTTTGTTTTGATTGTTGTAGGCTCTCTCCGTGCTGGGAGTAAGCTTAAAGTCTTCTCAGGTCTTTTCTTAGTCTATGACTTTCCCTGGGCATATGCAGTGATTTTCTGAATTCTGTATAGTTGTTGCTTTTCCATGTCCTAGTCCTTTAACGTCTGGCTCCAAAAAGGGATAAAAAAGAAGGTACTGGTGCTTTAAATCCCCTAGAAGTCGTTTCAGCCAGTGGGGGAAGTACTTGCAACAGTATATGTAATAATGGCCTGTCTCTGTGTGTGTACCTCCATGAACAGAGCAGTTAGCAGTGATCAGAACCAGACCCTTGATATCTGGAAGACGGGGTCCTTATGGCCCACCCTGCTCCTACAAACTGCCGGCAAGTTGCTCCAAGAACACCTGCATGGCTGCCTGCAATGGGGTGGGTTGCAGGGGCTGGGGCATGGATAGCCCCTGCTGAGCTAAGAGCTTAAATTGACTCAACCTGACTGCAATTTATCTTCCAAGCATTTCCCTGGAAGTTTCATGTCTTTTAATAGACTCCAGATTTCCAAAATAATTATGTCAGCTAGATTCCTGTAGGGCAAGTTTTATCTAGGTAGAGAGTTGGATTCCTGGCGCTTCCTACTCTGCCATCTTTCCACAGTCATCCTACTTCCAAAATGTTGTTCTTTCATTCAAAATATTTTTTAATACCTCTTTTCTTTCAGACATGTGTTCGGTGAACAGGAGATGTGTGTCTTTGCCCCCAAATATCTATAAGATGTGACATAGAAGATGAGCACATAAATGAATATATGATTATAGATGATGATAAATGTCATAAGAATATACATGTCCTGGAGTCTTATCCTAGAATAATTTCCTAGAACCAAATTCCCACAAGCATGGACTTCCTCTGAAGTCTCTTCTTGTTTTAATCCTTCCCTTCTATCTATGCTGTTTAGAAGTTATTTTTGTGTATATCACATAAGTTCAGGCAACTATCATTCTGAATTTAATTAAACGCTAAGTTTGATTTTTTTTCCTCTTCCAATGAACACATATCAGATTTGGCCGCACCCCAGTGCAAGAAAGGCTCAGCTGTCTGGCCAAGGACAACTCCATCTACGTCGTGGCAAACATTGGAGACAAGAAGCCATGCAATGCCAGTGACCCTCACTGTCCCCCTGATGGTCGTTACCAATACAACACTGATGTGGTGTTTGATTCTGAGGGGAAATTGGTGGCTCGCTACCATAAGGTAGAATTCATTTGCAGATAATTCAACTACTGAATTGCTTACCAAAATAAAGTGGACAAGAAGGGAAAAAAATCACCATTGTTGATAATAACAAGCTTACTTTAAAAGCAGAGGAGAGACAAAGCATAGAAAGTAATGATTATTTGTGGTAAGGTTCTAGAAAAGGGAGGTGTCCTGTACATTTAAGAACACAGGAAAGTGTCATTACGAGTATGTGATAATCAGTAGAAGCTACCTGTTTTGAAATAAAATGTTGCCTTTTGGACTTTGTCCTTTTAATGACATGCCCTGGCAAAGGGTCAAGGCTAAAATGAAAAACTCCTTACCAGATAGACTTGGTTTTAAGGAGAAAGGAGGAAAGAAAGTTCTTTGTCTGCAGAAAATTGTTATGTGTTCTTGGCAAATAGAAGTTATCTGTTTCACTCCTATGTCTCTAATATTCGAGAAGGTCTTAATAGATAAGGATTCCCTTCTACAGATCTATCAAATGTGGAAATTAAACCCAAGGCCATAGTAATCCTATCAGCATAGTGATCTTTGATTTTCTAACGCTCTTTCCCTGTAGAGACAGTGGTGGTAGATGAGATTGGCACCGTTTAGTAGATGTGAGCTTGCACTCTTTTAGATGCAGTGATATTCAGGCCAACTTCTTAAAAGAGATTCCCGCCCCCCATCATCTTCTGTTTATTGCAGCAAAATCTTTTCTTGGGTGAAGATCAGTTCAATGCACCCAAGGAAGCTGAGGTCATGACTTTCAACACCACGTTTGGAAAGTTTGGCATTTTCACGTGCTTTGATATTCTCTTCCATGATCCTGCTGTGACCCTGGTGAAAGATTTCCACGTGGACACCATACTCTTCCCGACAGCTTGGATGAATGTTTTGCCACATTTGTCAGCTATTGAATTCCACTCAGCTTGGGCTATGGGCATGGGAGTCAACTTCCTTGCATCCAATTTACATTACCCCTCAAAGAAAATGACAGGTAACGTGTCATCTTTAAGATTTTGATGTAATCAAAAAAGGAAAAAACAAATCATGTTCTTTCTAGCTAACATGTACTCCTCAATACAATGTTTTCCAACTCTTAATGGTTGCACATCTAGCTGGTGACACGCTGTAGAATCAATCTCAACCTAAATTGTTTCATAAATTGATTTAGTTTTATTCAACTTGAATGTACGCTCTTTTTGTTTTTTTCAAAATTTACGACTTCTTACATGAAACTCTCTCTTCTTGGCTTCTTGGTGACATACTCTATTGGATTTCATCTCACCTATCTGTCCTTATCAACATATTTTAATGAAATTAATGAAATATATAGCTTAGAGAAAGTAAAATGTTAACATGAGTTTAGAATAACAATAACAACTATGCAACCCCTTTTTGCTTTACTGTTTTAAATGTCATTTCCAATTTCCAGGAAGTGGCATCTACGCACCTGATTCTCCAAGAGCATTTCATTATGATATGAAGACAGAGAAGGGAAAACTCCTCCTCTCACAACTGGCCTCCCACCCACACCCCACAGCAGTAGTGAATTGGACTTCTTATGCGAGTGGTATAGAAGCCCCCTCAATGGGAAACCAGGAATTTAAGGGCATCATCTTTTTTGACGAGTTCACCTTCTTGGAGCTCAAAGGAGTCACAGGAAATTACACAGTTTGTCAGAAAGATCTCTGCTGTCATCTAAGTTACAAGATGTCTGAGAAGAGATCAGATGAAGTTTATGTACTAGGGGCATTTGATGGACTACATACTGTGGAAGGGAGCTATTACTTACAGGTAATGATTCTTTTGGTGGCAGGGGAATTACTGGATAAAACAGGACACTCAGTTAAATTTGAATTTCAGATAAACAATGAATTACTTTTATTATAAGTATGTCCCACTTTGGGGGACATGTGTATACTGAAAATTGGTTGTTTATTTGAAATTCCAATTTATTGGGTATCCTGAATTTTTACTTGCTAAAACTTGCAATCTTAGATGTCAGTCCAATTTTAAACTGGTTGGGAAAAGGCAGAACATTCACTTACAGTCCCAGTGTTTAAAATGATCTATTAATCAAATTACAGATAATTTTAATGAATAATTAACGTCTAATATTTCCTGCCTGAACTTATCAAGGCATTTCCCATTTACGGTCACTAATGCCTATCTTGTTTTATAAGAAGCTTCAGACTGAGTATGTCCCGGAGACATATAGAGCTGACCTCTGTGATGTGCAGTAGAATAGCTGCAAAGATTCAGACATCTCACAGCCCTCAACATAAAGGGGGAGCTATTATAGCCAGTTGAGGTGGAACCCTTAAGAACAAGCTGCTTCCATGTTTCTCTCATTCTACTCTTCTTTTCCTTGATCTGGCCCCCATCCTATTTCACCCAGATTATTGCAGTATCCTCCTAAGAGGGCTTCCCATTGATAGTTTCAGTTCCATCCAGTTCATTCTTTACACTATAATTACAAAAATCATGGAACACCATTTCTGATTATTTCCCTCACTTGCTTAAAATTCCTCACTGTTTTCTAATTGGCAAATCAAATTCCTTAACATAAAAGACTCAGGAAGTCTTAACATGTGCTTTTTCCTACTCTCTGTCCTCATCTGTCACTTCTACCCCTATGTACCCTGGGCTTCTATCATATTGAGACATTTCCCATCTACAGTGTGTCAGCATCTGTAGAACCTCCGGATGTTTGAACAGTTTTTTTTGTTGTTGTTTTTTTGATGGCCCCCAGCTACTCAACACTCATAGTGCTTTACAGGTGTTATCTTCACCAAGGTGGCTTCTCTGACACTCCCACTCCCCAAGCTGGGTTAGGTAACTCCTTTATATACTCCCAAATATCCTATGGTTAACTTTTTCAAAGACATATCATGTCAAATTATGTACATACTTGTTTGAGACTGAAAGCCTTTTGAGTGCTGGAACCATGCCCACTGTGTAGCGTTTTGTTTGCTGTATGATAAGCACCTCTACCAAAGCTTGTTCATTTTGGCAAACATTTATCGAGTGCCAAATACATATCAGGCGTATATTTGGTGCTAATGTGATGAAGATGAATAAGTATGGACCCTCCTCTTGAGGAATTTAGTAGGGGAGAAAGACAGGTGAACATAATTTCAGTACAGGTTGGCATGTGATAGAACAAAGGCATATTTTGCTATAGAAATACTAAGGAGCTTCACTTAGCCTAATTTGGGGATCCAGGGAAGTTTCTGAAGACATGCTGCTTGAACTTATGCTATTTTATCCAGGTGAAAAAAAGTGGGAGGGAATTCTAGGTGGGGTTAAGCAAGGGGGTGGATATGTCAAAAAGCAGGGTATGCTGGGACAAGCAAGCAGCTGACTGTCACTGAAATGTAGCATAAGAAGCAAGGATGGGTGGAAGATGAGCATAGAGGCAGGATCACATCCTGCAGGATCTTACCTCTCATTTCTAAGATGTGGACTTCATTCCATCAGTGATGGGTTTCTGTTGGAAGGTGTTCAGCAGGGGAATGATGTGATCACATCTGTTTTTGAGTAGATTGTTCTGGTTGCCCTACGGATCATGGAACATAGGACAAAATGACTAGTTAGATTATGAAAATAGCCCTATTAGGACCTGAACCAAGATTATGTTCATAGGAATAAAAGCAGGGTATGGAGTCAAGAAATATTTAGAAAACTAAACTTAGTAACTAATTTGACATGGAACAGGAAAGCAGAAAGAAGGATCTAGAATGTACCAGGTTTCTGGCAAGAGTGGCTGGATGAAATGTGATGCTTTGACAGATCAGGATTCAAGAGGAGGAGCAAATTGGATGGGAGTGGGGAAGATGTTCAATCCAGCTTTGGATGTGCTGGTTTTTAATTACTCTGGGGACATTCAGTTGGAGCCATCCAATAGGCTGTTGAATATATGGGTCTGATACTTCAGGAAGATACGAGATTTAGAAATATTGTTTTGAAAACCAGCAGGAAAAAGGTGGTGGTAAACCCACAAGAGTGAATTGCAAAAGCTGACTAAAACAGTGAACAGTGAGTTAAAGGTGGAAGTTTTGAAACTCTTGTGTTTGGGCAGGAAATAAACAGAAGAATAGGAACATGCAAATATGTTTGAGAAATAAAGGAGAACTTAGAGAGTACTCTCATGGAAGGAAAGGAAGCAGAGACTCTCAGAGGGAGGAAATCGTGAAGTGTATTTGTGCAATATGTTTACCATTATTGAATGAATGAGTATAATTTTGGTGGAATCTCCTGGGCTCATAATGATAGAGTGAAAGACAGATTACAGTGGGTTGAAAAGTCAAAGGGAAGTGAGATATTGAAAGAGCGAGTCAATATTTCTTCTGCAAAAATCTTGCCTGATACAGGAAGAAAGGAAACAAGGTAGAAGCTAGACAGAGAGGCCCATGCTTTTTTTGTTTTGTGTTCTCCCAATAGATGAGAGAAACATGATTATCTTTATAGGCCTAAGGGAAAGAGCAACAAGAAAGGAAAGGATGAAAATATCGGCGGAATCAATATTTCTTATCAGTGCTCTGAGGTGCTAGAAGAAAGGGGAAAAAAATGGTATAAAAAACACAGGTAGAAAATGTCCAATGATTGGAAATTAGTTTAAAAAATTATGTTGTAGAAGAATATTTATTGCCATATAAATATTATCATATATTATACAGCATATTGACATATATTGCATTATATATGTGGTATATATATGGTATTATACTGCCATATTTTTAAAATTAAAAAATTGTGCTTATTTTTTTTATTATTATTTTGTGATCTAGTTTTAAGTTTCAAAAGCTGGTTAAAACACAAGACAGCAGTGTCTCAGCTCTTCCTCCCTCTTTTCCATCCTTTCCTCTCAGTCTTGTCTGCTTCTCTGCCTGCCCCAGAGTCTTGGTTCCACTTGAGGGGATTGGTGGTAGGTCTCTTCTCGGTGTTGGGAGGTTGGTTAGTGCTGTCAAATGAAACGAAGTCCTCTGTTATTATGGCTGGACAGTGATCCCCTAGCTAAGCCACTGGGGCCAGACAGGTTTTCGAATTTAAAATTCTAAATTTAGAAGCTTTCTTCATGGATATGGTGACTTTTCAGGGTTACCAGAACTGACTAAAAGCTCTGAGCCTGTGGGTGATACTTGCCAGTTTTAAGCTTCACAGAGGGACGGTCTAGCTGGGCTTTTGATTAGGGGAATCCCTGAGGTAAGTGTCTTTAAAGATTTCCCTTTGGGATGATTACGTTTTCCAGGTTTCAAAATTCTTCTATTTCCCGGCTTCCCTGGTGGCGCAGTGGTTGAGAGTACGCCTGCCGATACAGGGAACACGGGTTCGTGTCCCAGACCAGTAGGATCCCACGTGCCGTGGAGCGGCTGGGCCCGTGAGCCACGGCTGCTGGGCCTGCGCGTCCGGAGCCTGTGCTCCGCGGTGGGAGGGGCCACAGCAGTGAGAGGCCCGCGTACTGCAAAAAAAAAAAAAAAAAAAATCTTCGATTTCCCTTCCTGAATAATTTAACAAATAAAAACACAGGATGCCCAGGTAAATTCAGAGTTCAGATAAACAGCAACTTAAAAAAAAATAAGTATGTCCATGCAATAGTTGGGACATATTTATACTAAAAACTGGGTTTAGTTTTTTTAGTTTATCTGAACTTCAGATTTAACTGGGACTCCTGTCCTGTAATTTATCTGGCAACCCTATTCCTGAAGGATAAATGCCTTTTTTGACAGCATTTAGAGAGTCAAGTGAGGGAAATGACCTTGCAGGGTGGAGGGAGATGGTTTTACCATTCAGTTTGATTCATTCAAGGAATCCCCTTCAAACATGTCTTTCAAAACCTCCATCTAAACATCGTCTGCTTTACCCTCTCTGGAAATAAGTATTCCATCTTTTACTGGAACAGGGAAAGGGTAGCTGCCCATCCATTGGTGGGGACTCAGTACTGAGGCATTCTTAACAACTTCCCACAAATTTTCCTTTCTTCAAGCACCCCAATTTACTCCCAGCTCCTGAGGTACCTAGTGCTTCCAGAGATGGAAACTTTTGAGTATTCTCAAAAGTTTAGATTGGTTGATTCTTAGCTTTCCCCACAGCTAGTTCAGAACTTGGCTTTCTTAGGTCTGTTAAATCAGTTACCATTTTTTAAATTGAACTTTAGTTGATTTATAATATAGTGTTAGTTTCAGGTGTACGACGTAGTGATTCAGTATTTTTGCAGATTAAATTCCATTATAGGTTGTTACAAGATAATAGGTGTAATTCCCTGTGCTATACAGTATACCTTTGTTGCTTATCTATTTTATGTATAGTAACGTGTATCTGTTAATCCCATAACCTAATTTGTCCCTCACACCTTCCTTCTTCCCTTTGGTAACCACAAGTTTGTTTTCTATATCTATGAGTCTGTTTCAGTTTTTTTTTTTTCACATTCATTTGTATCTTTTTTTTTTTTTTTTTTTTTTTTGCGGTACGCGGGCCTCTCGCTGTTGTGGCCTCTCCCATTACGGAGCACAGGCTCCAGACGTGCAGGCTCAGTGGCCATGGCTCAGGGCCTAGCCACTCTGCGGCATGTGGGATCCTCCCGTGTCCCCTGCATCAGCAGGCGGACTCTCAACCACTGTGCCACCAGGGAAGCCCTGTATCATTTTTTAGATTCCACATTCTCTGTCTGACTTACTTCACTAAGTATAATATTCTCTAGGTCCATCCACGTTGCTGCAAATGGTAATATTTCATTCTTTTTTATGGCTTAGTAATATTCCTTTGTATATATGTACCTCATCTTTTTTTTTCTTTTTAAATTTATTTATTTATTTATTTTTGGCTGTGTTGGGTCTTCATTTCTGTGCGAGGGCTTTCTCTAGTTGCGGCAAGCGGGGGCCACTCTTCATCGCGGTACGCAGGCCTCTCACTATCATGGCCTCTCTTTTTGCGGAGCACAGGCTCCAGACGCGCAGGCTCAGTGGTTGTGGCTCATGGGCCTAGTTGCTCCGCAGCATGTGGGATCTTCCCAGACCAGGGCTCGAACCCATGTCTTCTGCATTGGCAGGCAGATTCTCAACCACTGCACCACCAGGGAAGCCCTGTACCTCATCTTCTTAATCCAATACTCTGTTGATGGGCACTTGGGCTGCTTCCTCAGTTACCATTTTTGCGTCAACACCCCAACTTCTAAACTTGTGCCATAATCTATCCTCCTGTTCTCCTAACCTTGCGGGTTTAGATCTTCCAAAAATAATAATAATAATAAAGTTGGTTTTAGTAGGATTGCAAGGGAACAAAATTGAAGCATGTGTTCATTCTACCTTTATCTGAAAGTTATTTGTATCCCATCTTGACACACTTGCCCTAAAACGCTTGCTCTCCAACTTCAAAAGTGGAAGCAGGGAGACCAGTTAAGGGCTATTGCTTTAGTCAGGCAAGAAATAAAGGTGGCTTGGAGTAAAGCTTTGAAGATGCAGTACAGATGGAGTTAAATGAAGATGGATCTTCCTTTTGGGGACTTTGCATCTGCATGGTGAGGTGATTCATACACTTAAATTTACATGCAAATAGCTATGTATTGTAGTGTAGTATAGTATAACTATGTAGGATAACAAGAGCTGTCATCATTTTCCTGCTCAGGTATAAGGTATGTGACTTTTCCAGATCACAAGAGTTGTCTCTAGATCAACTCTAGGACTCAGTACAGATTTAAAGTTCCTTCATTGTTAGAAATAGGCACTAAGGTAGAAATTAAACTAGTGTCTAAACTTTTTAAAAATAATCAAACACTTTTGATTATTAAAAACATGGCTAACTTGAAAACAATTAGGGTATAATTGTTCATGACTGTAGACCAAGGATCTGATTATTTCTTTATGTGGTTGAATCTGTTTACAGTGAACTACAGAAAGCACTAGGGTCTGAAGTCCTTTATTTTTATTACTAGTTGCAAAAGCATTCAGCAACGAACCAGATTAATCTAATGAGGAAGTAATACTATAACAAACATTATAAACAAAGGGGCATAGGCACTTTTTTCTATGTCAAGAGAATGTTTCAACTGGCTTTCCTAAGACTTATTGTTTTGTTTTTACGTTCCTAGATTTGTACTCTGTTGAAGTGTAAAACAATGGACTTACACACTTGTGGTGATTCAGTTGAAACTGCTTCCACCAGGTTTGAAATGTTCTCCCTCAGTGGCACTTTTGAAGCCCAGTATGTCTTCCCTGAGGTGTTGCTGAGTGGAATTCAGCTTGCACCTGGAGAATTTCAGGTACTATTTTTTGCTTAATATTGCCAACTCATTTTATGTAAGAGGAAGCATCTTTTGAGTAGAAAACCTGCCCAAGTGCTTACAGATATCATGAAAACCTTCATTTGGAAAGGGTAAAATTGTCCTTAGGGCTCACCAAGGACACTGAGGACATGGGATCTCTTGTCTAAAATTCCCTTAGAGAAAAATGAGCATGTCCTTGAGAATAAAGAAATATATCTTATTGTGGGGACTTCAGGGAGTGGGCTGGGGTGTTTGAGGTCGGTCAAGTAGAAAGAAGACTCAAGAAGAGTTTCAGGACCAGTCCCACCAGAGGAAGCCTCTTTGTGTCACTGGGGAGGGATGGCCTAGGGCACCGTGTGACCATCAGAGAAAAAGAAAGAAGGAAAAGCTTAGAGAGAATTGGACAGTCGCTGAATTGGCAAGAAAGCAAAACCTTTTTTTTCTGTTAATATGCAAGAAATAATTTATTACTGCGCAAGTGCTCTGTCCAGCCACATTCTCCTGCTGACTTTTCCTGCAGGTCCTGCTCTCACTCCCCTCTCCTCTTCCAAACAGTTGCTGTGGGGAGTTGGGGACAATAGGCAGGTAGGGAGGCTGTGATGAGTGAGTGTCAGGGATGATAGAGGCTCAGCCCATAACCCCCTTAGTCAAGCCCGCCTGACCCTTTGGAGGAGTCTTTTTCTTGTAGGAGAGAACAAGATTTCTCTCTTATTTATTCTCAGATCCATTGTTTTATGTTTATTAACTCATCAGATGCTCTCTCAGAGTAAATCATAAGATATAGATTATGGGCATTTCAATAATAAATGGATCAGTGCCAATTCCATAGCTCCAATTTTTCTTATACTCTGTACAATTTCACATATTTCAGATGGAATAGAATCTGGCCATTATTTTTACTGTTTCTTCATCCAGTTGTACTGAATTTTAAGAGTATGTTGTGAGGTTGTGTAACTGAAAGTTACTGTCAGTCAACTTCCCTGTGTTTTAAATAGGTGTCAAGTGACGGACGCTTGTGCAGCCAGAAGCCACTATCTGGACCTATCTTGACAGTAACTCTGTTTGGAAGGTTATACGAGAAGGATAGTGCACCAAATGCTTTCTCAGACCTCATGGCACAGGCACTGAGAGTAACGCTCATAGTTGTCATACCTATTGTGTACTCATTAGGTTGGTAGAATATTTACATTTTCTCTCTTTTACTTCAGATCATTTAAGTGGATGTGAGAAGAAGAATGGGTCTGGGATTTTGATAATAGTGGTCATGGTCTATCATATCAGTGAATTACTAATACGCTTTTTCTTTTGTTTAGACAAATAAACACACACACACACACACACGACAATATAAGCCAGATAAATAGTGAAAGAATTTTGAAAGGTAAAATCTGTAAAATGACAACAACAGTTATACCCACCTGTTAGGTTTTTTTTGGTGAGAATTAAATGTTACTGCAGTTAAAGTACTTAGACAAGTTCCCTCTCATGGAAAGCACTCTATATATGTTAGCTATTACAATGATATAGGACTATCACAGAAAAACCAACTGTGATGTATTTATTGCTAAAATTATATCACCTCTGATTGGACGAAGTGCATATATTTTCCAACAGTTCAGCCACTCTGCATATTTCAGTTAGAAAATCAATGAACTCAACATCAGCCGGTTGGGTGTGGCTTGATATCTAGCACTAAGGTATCCCAGAAGGCAGCTGGGCTTCCATCTAGGAATCTGCTCAAGAGCCTTAATGTTTTTTATGTGCTTTTCAGTGGTGATTTCCTGCTTATTTAGTGCTTTGCCTATCTTATCAATCTGTGAGCAAGCTAACAGGGTGGCTCTAAAATAGACATTTATCAAATCTGGCCTGTTATTCTGTTTTTGCATGAGTTAAGAAAGGTTTTTATGTTTATAAAGGTTTGAAAAAGAAAATAAAAAGACATTTTGTGACACATGAAAATTATTTGAAATTCAAAATTCAGTCTCCATACCTAAAGTTTTATTGAACACAGTCATGTTTATTTGTTTAGTATTTTTGATGGTTGTTTTCATGCTACAACTGTGGAATGGAGTAGATGTGATAGAGACCACATGGCTAAAAAGGGTGAAAATATTTACTACATTTACAGAAAAACATTGCTGTCCCCTGCTCTAAAGTATTAAATAACAATGGATTATAGTATTGAAAACCTTTAATACAAACGAATAGGCAAATAGTCCTTGAGTGTCTTTCTTGTAATTCTTCCACCCAAGGAGAAATAAAATATTTCAATTTGCTTTCTGTTGTATTAACACCACAAAAGGATTACCTTTAATAATTTATGACCAAATATGCCTATTAGGCTAATACCCCAAACAAGTGAGTATAATTTTTATAAACATGATTAATATCTAATCATTATAAGATACCACATCATAGCCTTTTGTTGCATTGGTATGTTCTAAAATTTTCAAAGAAATTGTTAGTTTTTATTTTCAAATTTTTCCTGGAGATCAACTAAGAACTACTTATATTAATATACTATCTGATATTTTTCTCTGTGACAACTTTGCTTACTTGTCTTAGAATGATTTTTCTTAAAATTTAACATTGCAGCAGTGAATTCACTTTAAAAAATGTTATTTACTACATCCACACCTAGCTCTGATTACTTTTTCACTCTGGATTTCTTTAATGCATATATGTTTTTAATCATAGTTTTTTTGGGGTTTTTTTGCGGTACGTGGGCCTCTCACTGTTGTGGCCACTCCCGTTGCGGAGCACAGGCTTCGAACGTGCAGGCCCAGCGGCCATGGCTCACGGGCCCAGCCTCTCCGCGGCATGTGGGATCTTCCCAGACTGGGGCACGAACCCGTGTCCCCTGCATCGGCAGGCAGACTCTCAACCACTGCGCCACCAGGGAAGCCCTTAATCATAGTTTTGATGTGCTTTTTAACTGTAATTTTTCTTTCTTCTGCATAAAATATTTGTGATGCTCATTTGATACAAACAACCCAATTCTAAGAAAGACCAATGCTCAAATATACTTTAAAAAAATAATCTATCTATTTATACCTTGACGAATGTAAATGATCCAGAGAGAAACTTTTGACCCTTCCTCATTTAATGATATAATTTACGTTATCAACTTCATGATGATGTAACACACACACACACACACACACTCTCACTGTGGCAGCCCATTCCAAGATGCCCCCAATGGTCCTCACCTCCAGTCTCCATGGAGAGATTCTCCATGATTAACTCTTCTGCTCTTATTTCTTATACAATTTCTGAGCCTTATCACCTACAATAAGTCTGAACTCATTACCACTTTTATTATAACACGTATCTTTTACTCTGTTCTGCTTAAGACTCCCAACAATTTTATTTATGTAATATGTTAGTTATTTTCCTAAACAATACATTTCAGTTCTCTTATGAGCTGAATTATGTGTCCCTGAAATTCATACATTGAAGTACTAACTCCATACCTGAGAATGTGACTGTATTTGGAGATAGGGTTTTAAAGAAGTAAAATGAGGCCGTTAGGGTGGGCCCTAATCCAATATGACTGGTGTTCTTATAAGAAAAGCAGATTAGGACACAGACATGTACAGGGGGGAGACCACGTGAAGACACAGAGGAAGATGGCTATCTACAAGCCAAGGAGAGAGGCCCTCAGAAGAAATCAATCATGCTGACACTTCTAGCCTCCAGAATGAGAAAATAAATTTCTGTTGTTTAAGCCTGTCTGTGGTACTTTATTATGGCAGCCCTAGCAAACTTATACATATTCCAACATCCTCCCTCCACCTTGATTTTTCACCATTAATTGAACCTTGAACAAAATGTTTACCTAGTAAGAATATCCAGCTAGCCTGGCTCCCCAAGACTCCACTAGATATTCTTAGAGAAGCATTGCTGATGAAATGATAGTGAAGTCACCATCTTATTGGAGATCTTCTGGAGTTAGGAAACCAGAAAGTCATACTGATGAAATTATGCAGTCAATCTGGCATCAAACACGTTCTCTTTTAGTAACAGCAGAATCTCTTGACATTATACAACTTAGTGAAACAAAGAACATCTTTGAAGTCAAATCATCTCTCACCTGATAGAATATCCACATAGCCCTGATACAAACCTCACAATGTACAAAACATGACCTTCTACAAGGGAAAGCAGGGCACTGGCAGCAGTGATCCATGCCAGCAGTGCACCCTTTTGAAATAGACATTTTTGGGGCAGATGCTTTTCCTAAAAAATACTATATAATCCAATAAATATATAAGTAAAATTCATCTTGTGCTTTTGGATGACATTAACTGAGTTAAAAAAAAGAAACCTATTTGAAAATAAGGAAGCTCCTTATGTATTTAGGAATAGGAACCAGCGTGATAAGCCTCAATACCGTCCTACAATTTTAGTTTAAAACAGAAAACATGCCGACGCATATCAGTAATAGGTTTAAAATACTGAAGCCTTCAAAAAACCCTAAATGTTTCTTTTTCTCTTCAATCTTAACACATGTATTAGTTATCCATTGTGACATGTTATCCATTGTGACATAACAAGTTACACCAAACCTAACACCTTAAAACAATAAACACTAAACTTATACAATTTCTTAGACTGAGGATTACTTCAGGAATTGACACTACTAGGAAAAAGGGTCTTTAAAAAGCTACCTGTTTACTTAATGGGCCAATGTTTTTTTAATCATCAAGGTCTTTTTCTCCTAATAATTTATAAAACTATGTATTAAAAATGGAAAAATCCACTTAAATAATTGAAGTGTTTTGGATATCAAGAGGAACATGGAAAAGGTCAAATAGGAAATCATATCAATATCAAAAGCTGTTCTGGGGTTTCCCTGGTGGCCCAGTGGTTGAGAGTCCGCCTGCCGATGCAGGGCACACGGGTTTGTGCCCCGGTCCGGGAAGATCCCACATGCCGCGGAGCGGCTGGGCCCGTGAGCCATGGCCGCTGAGCCTGCGCGTCCGGAGCCTGTGCTCCGCAACAGGAGAGGCCACAACAGTGAAAGGCCCACGTACAGCAGAAAAAAAAAGAAAAAAAAAAAAATGCTGTTCTGAAATACAGCATTTGACTCCTACACGGAAAATAACTGTTCATTCCTCACATTTCCTTTGATCCTCTGTCTTGTGGATGTTCTAGGCATGTTCCAAATGCATCAGTTTAATTTTTGTTTCTGAGAAGAACATAAAATTGTTAAATGGGGAAAATACCTCACATCCACTAGTAATACTTAGGCAACATGCTTTTGTGTACAATGGGATTAGTGATTTAGGTACAGATGGTGCAAAACCAAATCTGTGTTCTAATAATTCTATTCTTACCTGGTCGTGGTTGGCATTATTAAAGTGAAACGTAGTAGATAAAATAATAAGTAAATATGGGACTTAATAAATCTAAATAGCACTTTAAATATGAAGACAATTATCACCAAAACTTAAAATGTGAGGAAAACAACCTATATGTTAACAGTGCTGCAGTGTCATGCTATTATTTTGTATAGCATTTTATCATGGTAATTTAAAGATTAAACAAATAAGAGCTTGTACTTTTGAAAACTGAGATCTGCTATTTCACCAAAGTTGTCCTTAGTGAATCCAAAGACAGCAGCATGGAAAAGTAAATAAGGTCTAACGTGAAACAACACTGAATGGGAGGGAGGAAAGAGAATAGCAGGGGAGGAAAACCGCCCGAGTTCTCCATAATCTAATAAAAATATGGTACTTTTTTTTTTGAACTAAAGATGAAGGTTTTTAAAATGGAGAGTAATGCAAAAGAACACATGTTCACTCATACATATGTGGGCATGCACACACACACACACACACACACAGAGACACACCTTGGTGACCACACACACAGGCCATAGCATGTGTGGGAGCACATAGCTGGACACAGGTGTAGATTAAAATGTGAGTCAGTGTGTTTGTACTACTAGAAAAGTGTTTATGACAGAACGGTTTGTTCAGGTATGGTGCTCTCAGACAGGAGACAAACGAGTCTCTTCAAAAGAGAACAATCAAAAATGCACCCTACGGGGAAATGTGCTTGGCTTGCACTCGGAGGGCTGAGGTCTCCTGTGCCACAATCTCATTTTCTTTCAGCCTACAGGCATGGCAGGAGCACTTGGCTGCCGTGCTGTTCTTTCTACTCATAGCTCAGGACTTGGTAAATTTCAACGGCCAAGGTTAAAGACTTTGTGAGCTTCCCTAGTCATGGACTGTGGTTTCAGTACAACCTTAGAGAACCTGGGTTTCCTACAGTCAAACACTTCCCGGGTATGGATGCTGGAGAAGCCAAGATCTCAACGATCTTGTTCATACCCCACAGGGACATGCTTTGTGTCAGGATCAAGGGGACTCCACGTCTGGTGGTTTTTTGACAACAGCTGACCTGGACTGATGGGGTTCTTCATGCACTTTTGAGGCAGGATGATGGGTGAAGAGAGCCCAGATGCCAGGACCAGGATAGAAGGGCCAACTGAGCAGCCGGCCACAACTCCAGAATGTGGAGGTTATGGCCATGATGCAAGTTCTCACACTCTGAGTGCTGTAGAACACCGGCTGGCGAACCAATGGACTGTGACTCTTTATCCAGCTCTGTCTTTTTCTTTACTCCTCACTCAGTGCATCTTTGTGATGATAGTGGAGCTGCTTCAATGGCTTCTTTAATAGAAACTTAGGAAGACAGTAGAGGCGGGAGAGAGGGATTCACGTGGGCTTAAGGTGGGAACATTTTCTCCATCTCAGTTCATTACTTTTGTTTTTTCATAAAAAATCCCAAACCTCTCAAAATGTTGCTGTAGTATTTTCCTCCTTCCTTTGCTAAAAGTATTCACTTTCAAGTTGGTGGAGAAGACAGGGAATGGAAAAAGTTGCTTAGATCTCTGAATATATCTGTATAAAAATTAAAAGAAATAAAAACATAAACAAAACAGAACTTCCAGATTCCAAGGATCGTCAATCCTTGGAAAGGTTTCAAAGTACCTGTGGTCTGCTCACTGTGGTAAGGGTGTTTCCGCTTGTCTTGAGACCCGGGTCTCACAAAAAATTCAAAATTACAAAAAAGAAAGAAAAAATTAAACAACTGCAAAATGCAAAAAATGTCCCAGCAGGAACGCATGGCCCCCTCACCCTTATTCCCTGGAACAAGGGAATATCCCACCCCTCACACCCTCAAAGGACGGTTCCTATTTTCCAGCCCTTGATAGCTCTTTAGCACCCATTGCATTGGGACATCCGTGTTTAGTGGCGCCAACAAG